TGTTAACATCTTACACTATATTTCTTTTAGTTGAATTTTATATGCTTTGGTTGAGATTTTATATTGATGTTAAATCTTTTAAGCTTTTTTTTGTTAAAGAATTGACTCTAGAGTGCATATTTTGTGTCCATGAAAAAACTATTACAGAAAATATTACAACATTAAAGAACTGTTCTTGTTAATTTGATGAAAACATTTTAAATTTCCAGTGAACTCACATCAGAATAACTTCTAGACTTGTTGTTAGAATAATCGATTAATCGAAAAAATAATTGTTAATCGATTAGAAAATAACCGTTTGGTACAGCACTAGACCAGAGTCCTCAAAAACCTTGTTTTGCATATTTTTCCTTCCCACAGCTAGGAGACGTGTGACTGAAGGAGGACGCACCAGAACAAGGTAAAATTAAAATCTGAGGCCGAATGATGAGCAACTGGACCGCCTGATGTTCTGATTCTGACGCTCAGTTAGTTCAAAATAATAATAATAATAAAAAAATCACTACAGAACTCAGTCTAATGAAACATCCAGGTTCTGAAGCATTTCTCAGTTCAAAACTCCAAACTTGTTCAGACTCAACGCTCCAGATTTTATATATTTCTGGCCCAGTTTTAACTTTTAAACACTAAAAGTTTTAATAAATTCATGGCAGACCTCTCTACATTAGTCTGTTTTTATTTTAGATGTAAGCATTTTGTGTTTCTTCATTTACAAACACCATAAAAGTAAGATTAAACAAGTAAAACACAAAGGGATGAGAGACACTGAGCTAACATTTTATGTGGTAGTAGCTGATAGTCATCCCCAACATGAACCCCAAGTGTTAACACATATCACAATATTGTCATGTTATAGAAAATCACTATAACTACTGTTTCTCATCAGAAGATAAGCTGAAGATCTAAACAGGACATAAAAGATGATGTGCATTTCTTCAATCATTGCTAGCTTTATATGTATAAAAGTTTCTAAAAGAAATGAAAGTTTCTCATTTTTTTTAATAATCATTTTTTAGGGTGAACATAAAAATAAAGCCAGTTTGTTGGATATTACAGATTATTACAGAACTTCTAATTAAAGCACACGTCTTCATTTACATCAGCTTTTAGGATTTTTTTGTCTAATTCTTATCAAAACTAATTACAGCTCCAAACTGATTATTACACTTTTCTCCTTGTGTTAAGATCTCTCATTTGCATAAATTAGTCCTTTCTGTTGTGGTCCTTAATATAAATATAACTCACTTGTGTGTTATTGTTGGTCAGTTACAGAGGGGCAATGTGGAGGGTCCAGAAAGCCACATGTGGCCCCAGAGCCACAGGTTGCAGACCTCTGGACCAGGGTGGAAAGAGTCTGGAAACACATATGGTTTTCTGTATTTATCCAGATCCGGGACGGGGGAATACGAAAAACTGAACCAGAATCCTTGCAGCCCAGTTTGAATCATACTGAGCCCGCGAGGGGACATGGGGGATTTTTTTCTTTTTGTGTTCCCTCGCAAAAGTTGTTAAACACTGTTGTGCCTGTCGGTTTATTAACAAACTCACATGTTCACCATTAGCGAGTTAGCTACAGCTTTAATTCAGCTTCAGAATGAAAATATCACACAGACACACATGGAAGTATGTCATATGCTGATATTTTAACACAGTGCAGACACACAACATCAATGTCAAGTTTACGAAATTGTGGCGACACATCCTGTTTCGGTAACCGGATATTTCAAAATAAAAGTCTGATTTAATTCAGTTCATATACAAATCAAACTTTTGCGAGGTAACGCAAAGGTATTGCAAGGTAACGCAAAGGTATTGCAAGGTAAC